TGGAAATAGTTATCCATTAATGATCCTGGTCGAATCAGTTACTTCACTGAGAGTTATACAAGGTAAGAAGAGCTTCCCCCACCCACATTTTTAGCATTACTATGGTGTCTTAGACCATTTGTGCTAGTGTAACAGAATACCACATATTGGGTAATTTATACAGAACAGAAATTTATTTCTCACAGTTCATTTATTTCTCACAGACAGCACATGATGTCTGGTGGGGTCTGCATCCTTCAGAGGGGAGGAGCACCCCGTCGTCACAGGGTGGAAGGCAAGGGGGCCGAAGGCTGTGTGAAGCCTCTTTTTGTATAGGGTCTTTAATCCCATTCACCAGGGAGGAGCCCTCGTCATTAAGTTTCAACACCTGGATTTTGGAAGGGACACATTCATGCTGCAGCATATAAAATCACGGATTTTTTTTTAATTCAAGTTGTTAGAATCCATTGCTGTTTTTCTTTTTCATGTTCAAATCGTCCCAGAGGTGGCCAGTGGATTTCCTTTCAAGCCAGTTCCTATGTCTCTATCATTCTTTGAGTACTTCCTCACTTTCTGTATCAACTCTTCACTGCCTCAGACCCGCCTTACACCATCTCTCCAAGGAGCCCCTTGTTGTGGGTAGTGGTTTTTAGAACTCAAGATCTGCGTGCAAAGTGCAGTCAGTGAGCAGAGCCAGGAAATTAGGAAATGTAATACAGATGTGTGCATGTGTGCATCATCATAAGTTCATATCGATACCACACCAATGCAAACACAACATGATGTATTAATAATTCTTTTGTCTTTTCCCCTATTCCATGTTTGTATCTCTCAATTCCCACAGTGAAAACTCTGATACTCAACCTCAGTATAATTACTTATTCTATCCTACAATACACCCAAAATAGTTTCAGATTGCTACACCAATATTAGTATTGACATGGTGTTATGAATACTATTTCAGTTAGTTTTCTATGCTTTCCAGGATGATAATCTGTCAACCACCCATTCCCTTAGGTAATTACTGAATTCAGAATAGTAAATTCCTTTTATCTTTGGTCCATAATTAGGAATAATGGCCTCGGAGATGTAGATCTAATTCCCTGGTCTGCATGGAAGGCCAAAGCTTTCCCCCTTGGGCTTCGGCAAGCTCCTGGTGGCTCCCTTCATCTGGTATGATTCCACACACACTGTCCCTAGACAGGAGACTCACAGCCCTTCGAGACCCCCCAAAATAATCTCTTGCAGAGATTTCATGAACGAGGTAGAATTTGCTGGCAACTTCCCAGGAATGACGGTGAAGGACATAATAGTGCAAATTCACAGCAATTTTCACAGGCACAGTGGGCGACACTAATCTCCAAAGAGCCCCCAGCCAAGTCCCCACCCTGGCATTTCTTTTACTGATCTTTCAGCTCATCCTGGTTTCTCACTCTCTTTCCCACTGTTTTTTACCTCCTCTTCCTTCTCTCTCTTTTCTCCTTTTAGGATCAAAAAGCACAATTCTTCCCCCTCTGTCAAGCAGAGCAACCTCCTGCTCCCCTGAAGCTTTGTTCAAGGCATTCTTAGAACAAAGACAGCCTTCTTCCTAAGAGAAATTACAGTGAATAAAATTTCCTCCACCTCATTACACACACAAGGGCTGGCATGTTTTTAAAGCTTGGTCGGTTACAAACTGCAAACAAGTAGCTGCAAAACTCTCTCAGGAGGAGTTTCTCCATTGACTCAGCTAATGTGCCTCCGAACCGGGTCACCAGGTGGCTCAAGCTGCCCGGGATCTTTCTACTCCTGGACCTTCCATCTTCCAGAGCCACCCCCTTGTGTCTTCCACTCTGCTCCTACCCTCACAGACAAACGGCCCGTCCACATCTCCTCCAGCCGCGCAGCCAGCACCCCACACTTCCTGCCAGGACACCATCAGAGGGCCGGGGAGGGAAACAATGTTGTGTAGACACGAGCCATGGTCTGGGGACTGAGCCCAGCAGTGCAGGGGGCCTGGCCCTCTCGATGCCCCACAGCTCATCGGGGAGGTGTAGGGACTTTGAGGTGACTCAGGGTCTACTGCAGGGACTTTATTGGGAAGGGAAAGGAACAAGAGTTGACTGCAGGGTCTGGTGTCCTAGTAAGCAAGGGGAGGGAACATGGAGGCTTCTGCTTCTCCACGGTGCAGAGGATGGTGCTTGGAGAGCTGTGGGGCTCCAGGGAGGAGAGGGCAGGGCCCAGAGTGTAGTGAGGCATGAACCCCAGTATTCCCCATCTGGCCACCCTCAGGTGCCTGTGAATTCTCATTGCATTGATGGAGATGACTTTGCTAACCAACCTGCCTAGGCTAGAACTAGTGAGGGTTAAGGCCATTACCTTGCTGGCCTGGAGGTCCCATTCATGGCCATTCCAGAGTTTTTAGGGCCTAGAAGATCTTCTGTGGGCAGAAGCTTTCCAAAAGGCCAGTAGCCCTGGAAACAATCTCCAACTGGGGTTCAGTGGGGAGGAGACGTACAGATCTTTTTGGGAAGCCTATCAGAATGTCTGATGAGGGTAAGGAGCAAGTGAAATTTGAAAAATATTATAAAATTGCTGTTGCCTTGGTTATTTTCTATTTGGTAAATATTTAAGTTGCTTTGACATTTTGATTAATAGTAAAAACATATATAAATATGAGATTTTCTAATTTACTGGTTGGAGAAACAGGCCAAAAATGGTTTAGCAATGTACAAGAATGTTGGGGTCTTACAAAATGCAAGGATTGAAAAAGAAAGATGTGGTACAAGGAAAAGAGTAGTAAAATGAAACAGTCTGAGTATAGGAAAAGGAGGCGGAGGGCAGCATGAGCCCCTGGCACAGGGAGAGTGCCACCCAGCAGCTGCTCATCCATCCCCCAAATCCCTGCCTGCTCATGATAATCTCAGGAGAACTGAAATACCTCCCTACCTCCCAAGTCTCCCTCCATTTCTCAATGTACCCCAAAGTCCAGCACTGGCGCCTCCATCTTTTGAGTTAAGCACTGGCCTCTGCTGACTCCTCCATCAAGCAGGTAGCATTTATGTTGGGATTTTAGGACTACAGTTGTATCTAGTTTTGCACAGTTCTGGAACTTCCTAGAATGACACATTACCTAGGCTGAGCAAGTAGTTTCCCTAGTTTGGTGCTCTTCCAAATTTTTATGTACTTGCATTGATTACTCCTTAGGAGAATCCAGATAGAGCCTAGGACAGCCTGTGACACCTGAGCCCTTTGTCCTCACTGAGCTGCAGTAGGAAACCACATATGAGGGCAATGCCCACATTTCACATTACCGGGCTGCTCCTGGCACAGTGCGGATAGTTCCAGGCCCAAGTGTCCAGCAGCCCTTGTGTTTCCTTCCATCGTGGCTTTCCTCTCCTTGGGCTAGTCAACTCCAGAGCCTAAGTGTGCCAATCAATGCTCAACACAGAAAAAACATGCAGTGAAGTGTTGTCCTCTTGGGAAGTTGACTCAGAGGCTCAATGACTTGCCTCAGGGTATGTGGGGGCCCAGGGTCAGAGCTGAGGCCTTCTGCCAGCTGAGCAGCTGAGTAATCTTGGGCAAGTTCCTTCCCTAAACTCAAGTTACCTGAACAGGGATGAAAACTGGCTGAGAATAATCATACCTGGGTTCACACGCTGGCTCCATCAGCCAGCACCATGTGCATAAGACTTAACCTCTGTCTATTTCTTCCTCTGTAAAATGAACTTATAGTAAGTAGCATCCTCTCAGGGTTGCTTTGAGTTAATATGATGAGCTAATACATGTCAAATGCTTACAAATTGCCTTGCACACAGTGGTTAATAAATGTTTGGTATTTTATATGTATATACATTACTACACATATCTGTTAAATATATATAAAAAGCCTATAAAGACATACTTCTTAAAATGGCTAAAATAATATTTTTAAAAATTTGATAATAGCAAGTGTTGGTGAGGAAGTGGAGCAACTGGAACTCTCAAACATTGCTGATGGGAATGTAAAATGCACAGCCCCTTCGAACAACAGTTTGACGGTTTCTGATAGTTAAATATATATTTATCACACTTACCATATGAGCCAGCAATCTTATTCCTAGTTATTTACTCAATAGAAATGAAAGCATAGATCCACACAAAGAATGTTCACAGTAGTTTTATTCACAACAGCAAAAAACTGGAAAGAACCCAGGTGTTCGACAACAAGTAAATGGATAAACAAATTCTGAAACATCCTTTCAATAGAACACCGCTCAGCAATAAGAAGGGATGAAGCACTGATACATGCAACAACACAAAGGAATCGCAAAAACATTATCTTAAGGTAAAGAAGCCAGACACAAAAGGCCACATACTGTAGGATTGCATTTACAGAACATTCTGGAAACTGCAAAACATTAGAAACAGATGACTGGTTGCCAGGGGTTGGGGAAGGTGGGAATTGATTATAAAGAGGCATGAGGGAACATGTTAGGGTGATGAAAATGTTTTATATCTCGACTGTAGCGGTGGATACATGACTGAATACATTTGTCAAAACTCAGAACTGTATACCTAAAAAAGGAAAATTATACCTTAATAAATCTGACATTAAAAGCCATTGACAGTAGTTATCTATGAAAGGACGGAACTGGGTGGGGAGGATGGTTACAGAATACTCTTTCGTATCCTTTAACATGTGTACTGTTTGAACTTTTCTAGGGAGCATATCATTTATGTACTTGATAACAATTTCATTAAAGTTTTAAATAATAATAATGATGATGATCTCTACCTTGAGGGGTGTTGTGAGAGATCCAGATATAATAATGTGAAAAGCACACGTCACAGTGTATAGACAGACAGACAGACAGATGGATGATAGATACAAGTAGAGACAGAAGTGTAAGTAGAATATCTGTTACCTTCCTCTCATCTCCCACCTCTTCTAGCATCTTCAGTGCCCCCTCCCCACCCTCCCTAACCCTTCAGAAGACCCACACATTCTGAAGTGGCAAGGCACTAAGGCCCGGGGCCACTGAGTGACGGCCATGACTTACCTCGGTGACAAAGAGTGTGCGAGGGTCAATGATATCCAAGAAGTGCCTGAAGCGGCCATAGAAGGACGTCTGGAGAAGAGGATAGGAGAGAAGAGTAGGTGAGCTTCACACATCGTCCTCCAGACACTGGGGAGCCCCACGTCACAGCTTGCCCTTAGGGTCAGGGTCCCCTACTTCCCAGAACTACCCAAGTATGTGAATAACAGAGAAGCCTCACTGCTCAGGGACCTGAGGACAGCTTTTCCTGGGGCTGAGAGTTTCCTAAAGTCAACTCAAAGACCATCAAGATACTCAGTGACCATCCCAACTTATCTTCCAGATGCCTCCCATTTTTCTCCCCTTCTCCCAATGCCCTGAGATCTGTTCTGAGCCCTTCAGAAGCTCCCAGGCATCACCAGGCATGTGGGCTGGAGGTGAGGCCTGGTCTGCAGCCCTCTTCTGGCCTCCCTGCCTTGCTTAGGACAGCTTGAGTGATAGACAACCCTGTCTGCCCCTCACAGGGTCCCTTCTCGAGGTCCAGCTCTGGCCGTGGAGGGTGAGGGGAAGATCCCCACAGGCACAGCTCAAGCATGACAGTGCCAAGCTCACAGCTCTCCAGCCCTCCTTCACCCATAACCCTGGAGCTGCGGTGAGGCAGAGGGTGAGGGGCCCACTCCCCCAGCCCTTTACTCCCGAGCAGGGACCCAGGAAAAGGAGGGCTTTGTGCTAAGCAGGCCATAGGCATTAGAGCACAATGAAAGGAAACCAGGCAACGCTTCTGCTGGGCCTTCTGCCCAGGGGACTAAGCCAGCTGGGCAAAGCTGAGCTCAAGGGGAGGAGAGAGGGTGCTAAGCTCAGGATAAAGGGGAAACACCAGGGTTCATGTCTCGCTTCACTCCAGGCTCTGCCCCAAATTTCTCCCTGGAGCCCCACAGCTCTCCATGCACCATCCTCTCCACAGTGGAGGAAACGGAAGCCTCCACATTCCCTCCCCTTACTTACTAGGACACCAGACCCTGCAGTCAACCCTTGCTCCTTTCCCTTCCCAATAAAGATCCTGCAATAGGCCCCAGGTCACCTCGAAAGCCCCACACACAGCAGGCCTCATCCCACCTCCATTTCTCTGCCCGCCGTGGCATGCCCTGGACAGAGCATTGTCTCATCCCCACTGTCGCCCCCACCCAGGTGCTGCCTGTCACAGACCAGATAGAGCTTTAGCACCACTCCTACTAAAACAGTTGCTCTCCAACCTCTTGTAACACAAATGGCCTAAACCATTTCCCCACTTAAGACATACATGCTCAAGGCTTACACTGTTGTCCTGGCAAAATTTTACCTCTAAGGATGTAGTCTAAGGAAACGATCCAAGATGTTCAGAGATTTGGTCGGGGTGCACACTAAGGATGATCACTGCTGCATTGTTTACATAGGTAGGTGGTTAAATAAATGATGGTCCAGTCTTATGATTGAATACTGTGCAGCCTTTAAAATCATGCTTTCAGACATTTATGACATGGAAAAGTGCTTATGATTTTATAAAATACATATAAGAAGTGTGATTCCAACTCAATAAACAAGGAGATAAACAGAGCTAGATGGATACTAAATGAGCAGCAAAAAGACCAAATGACATCCAGATCCTGGCCCACTAAAAAGAACCAGAGTTCCTCAGGGAAGTGGCTCATTCCAGGGCTGAGATAGGGAAGATACAAGATGAAACTTGTTCGTTTTGTTGTGCCAGAAAGTAATGAAGTGCCACCCCTGAAAATGAAGGGGACGTGTTAAAAAGACCAATGAGGGGCAGGTGGACATTGTGTCCCTCTGGTTGTGACACCCTGAGAAGTCCCCAGCATCTTCCACAGTATTCTGGAGGACTCAATCTGCATCATGAGGAAACATCAGACAAACCCAAATTGAGGAGGATTCCATAAATGAACTGATCTTGTTCATCAAATGTGCCAGTGTCATAAAGACAAAGACAAAAACTGTTCCACATTAAAAGAAATTAAAGAGACAACTAAGTGCATCACATGATTTGGGATTGGACCCTGGACTAGAGGGGGGAAATGCCCTCAAGGGCATTAGTGAGACAAGTGGCAAAATTGGAATACAGACCACAGATTAATAAGTGTTGCATCCACGTTACATTTCCTGAATATAATAACTGCACTGTGGTTATGTAAGAAAATGTCCTTGTTCTTAAAAGACAGACACTGAAGTATTAAGGGATGAATGGATATAACCTACTTTTAAATGGTTGAAGAAAACTAACGTTAAATATAATATATTAAATATAATATACAGGGCAGCCATGAAATCTGGCAACATGGGTGCTCTAACTATTATGTATTTATAGATTGAAGATGTCCTGATGCTACCATGTATGTTTCCTGTGGTTCTAGACTTCATGATCACCTGTAGACAAAGAGAATAATAAACAAAATGTGACTAGACGTTAAAAACTGGTGGATTTAAGCAAAGGGCATGCAAAAATTTTTCTTACTCTTGCAACTTTTCTGTAAGACTGAAAGTATTTCAAAATAAAAGGTAAAAATTGTATTTTTCAAAAAGCCAGATGAGGCTGAGCTCAGTGGCTCACGCCTGTAATCCTAGCACTCTGGGAGGCCGAAGCAGGTGGATCACTCAAGGTCAGGAGTTCAAAACCAGCCTGAGCAAGAGCGGGACCCCGTCTCTACTAAAAATAGAAAGAAATTAATTGGCCAACTAAAAATATATAGAAAAAATTAGCCGGGCATGGTGGCACATGCCTGTAGTCCCAGCTACTCAGGAGGCTGAGACAGAAGGACCGCTTGAACCCAGGAGTTTGAGGTTGCTGTGAGCTAGGCTGACGCCATGGCACTTACTCTAGCCCCGCCAACAGAGTGAGACTCTGTCTAAAAAAAAAAAAAAAAAAAGCCAGATGAAAATACATTAAAATGTTAACAGAGATTGCCTCTGGGTGATAGGATTATGGGTGGTTTTTATTTCTATAACTTTTAAATTGCTTTTAAAATGAAAAATAAATCAATATTATACATAATATATAGAATATTCTATTTTTAAAAAATATAAAGTAAAATACAAGCTGGTATTTTAAGTATTATACTTGACTATAAGCTCCTGAAGCACGTGGGCTGTCAGATGCTCTTTCCTTATCCTCCTTGGCTCTCAGTCTCCTTACACATCTAGAAGGGCCTTCACAAATAAATACTCCTGGGGAACGGATGTGTGGGCTGAAGAGCAGCCAATGGCCTTGAGGCTTTCGAGAGGGGGTGGAGCCAGGCTGGGCTTTGAAGGTAGGGCAGGATCAGAAAAGGGTAACAGTATGGCAGCTAGTGGCCCAAGGCAGGAAGAGGATCACCAGAAGCATGGTCCATGTGAAGCATTTTCTTGAAGATGGTCCAGTACTGCACTGTCTTGATCCTGTCCCAGCCCTGCCAGCCCTCTTGTGTCACTTCCACTATAGCTACTGGGGGAGAGTCCAAGATAAACCAATTTGCCCCACAGACATCTATAAACTCCTATTGAGCTAGGCTCAGGGGACACCATAATGAACTAGTCCCCAAGGAGCTGACGGCCCATCAAGAGACAAATAACTACAAACAAGTAAACAAATAACACTGTGATCAGTGCTTAAATGAGGCATCACAGAGAACATTGGGGACACACAGTTTTCCTCCTGTTTCTTCCTAGTGTGAGTCAAGGAGGTGGCCCAGCAGAGCTGGGACTGGGAGGTAAATGTATTACCAAGCAGAGAAGGTGTAAGCAAGAGTATGAAGGCACAAAGTCTGGGATCAGAAGCTGCACCTGATTCCACCACTCAGCTACCTAGTGAGGACCTACGTGTACCCAGTGCTGTGCTAGGTCCTGGGGATATTGCAAGGCTGAGTGACTATGAGGGAACAAGGAAGGAAGAAGACTCACAGATGATGCCTAGATTTCTAGTTAAACACAAATGCTTATTAACCAGGATAAGGACAGCAAGAAGAATACTGATTGAATGGGGAATAAGATAAAAATTCTGTATTGGTCCTGTAAGTCTGAGATACTTAAAGGGTCTTCCAGATGTAACTCTTCAGTAAACACGTGGACACATAGGCCTGAGACTGAATGAAGAAAGGGTTCCTGAGTTGGAAATGCAGACAATAGTGTCCTAGCCCAATCAGCCTACAACACCCAGGGACAAATCTATAGTCTGACAAAGTCAGGTTTACTGACTCACTGCAAGGAAGAAGGCACAAGCAGAGGAACTCTGGAGTGCTCACCAAACACAGGGAATATTGAGTTAGTATAGAATTTTGGGTAAAGGTAGAGTAAAATGTAAATGAAGCAGAGATTCAATGTGCTCAAAGCAAAGCAAGACAGGGTAGGAAGGCGTCAACATAGGTCTGGACTGACAAGTGGACCAAGGGTCATATTTCTTTGGAAAGATCAATGTGGAACGTTGGGACAAAAAACCCCTTATTTGAAGCTAAGCATGTGGGTTGATTCTCTGAGGCAAAGTGGCTTATGTTTGCCAGTCAAGAGGTGGCTGGTTCATTCCTACTGATACAATTTAAACAGCAAAGTTTCTAGCAATCTATGACCTTAAAGAGTGGGATTTCTCAATGAGTATGAGAAATTTCAAAGAACAGAGTTGTTCTGAAACTTTGTAGCTCCAGTGGATCCTTGTGAGAAACATTGTTTCTTTGTAGCTGGCTTTATGTGTGACTGTCCTCCCTGCCCGATGAATGGTAGGGAAGGTGTTTACTTTCTCAGTCTGAGTTCATTTTTACTTTCTCAATCATTTAAAATGTGTAGCCTTCTCTCCCCCTCTAAAATTCTGCCCCCATCTTTACCCAATCACATAGTCATTGGAAGTTTTTCCTTCCCTTTTTCTTTACCAGAAGAATGAGTCAGCCAAATGATTCCTTCCCTTTCTTTCCCTGCACAAGAAAGGTGAGTCAGCTAATTCTAGCAGGAGCCCTGGGCCTGCAGCAGCAAGCTGCCTTCCCACCTCCACATCTCTCCCACCTGCAGGCCCATGGGGGAGAGGGGGCCTTGGGAGCAGCAGAAACTGACAGGCATCCTCTCCCCTCCAGACCTCCAAA